TGCTGGCGCGTATTTTGCGCAAATTTCTTAAAAACCTCCACATAACTATTTCTTATTCCTGTCATCTTTAACATTGAATTAGAATGTTTTGAACTTAAATATGCCTGTTGAACTACTTTCGATGAGTCTTAATGCCTGGAAAACAATAAAGGGGATATACTAGTATAGGGGGTAAATATAGTATTGTGAATATAAGGGCGACGGTAATGCTTGCCAGCATTGTGATATTATATTGCAGCAGCCGACCGCAATACAGAACAGTTTTAAGTATAACGTACAATTTTTATTGTTACATTTTATTGTTACATTTTATTGTTACTAAAACCTAATATTTATTGTTACTAAAACAATAGCATAAAGCATATAATATTAGCATCTTAATACTCAACACTCAATATATTACATTACAGCAGCCGACCGCAGTATAGAACCTTTTTAAGTTCAAAAATTTATTATCAAATTTACTTACTTAGTTTTATCATTTGTTGCTACTATATACTAGCGGAACTTATTGACATTTTGCGCGGAACTTATTGACATTTTGATCTTAGAAAAATATGTTAATACTCTTCTATTATGTTGTCATTTCAATAAAGTTGTACTATTAAGGGGTCGTTCACATATTACGTAATCAATATTTTGGCAATTTTTACCCCCCCCCCCCCTCCGTAATCAACCGTAATTAAGACCGAACCCCCCCCCCCCCCCCCCCCCCCCCCCCCCGTGATCTAGACCCAACCCCCCTCCTATATTACATAATCAAGATTAGTAATCGCAAAACACTTACTAAACGAAAATTGGTTTAAAAACGAAAATTTTGATTACATAATTAACGAAAATTGTCCAATTCTTTTCTGCAAATATCAGTGTACTCAATTGTGTGAGTCCCATATAGAAATGTTTCTTCCCGGTACTCCTAGTGAAAATTACCTGCGTGAACCGAGCATCCCACTTTTGAAAGGTTATTAAAATAGAGTATTCTCATACCTTATCAGACCCTATTTGGACGAACATTAAATGATCGGACATAATTATGAACGGACATTAATATGAACGCTAGAAGGCATTCAAAACCATCAAAAATCCGAATTTTTTTCATTTTCTGACGGTTTTTATTCCAGCAAATGATTTTTAAATCCATTTTTTATACAGTAAGTAAGAATAGCAGTCGTTAAGCAGTAAAAATGTTAAAATATGTGTACATGATCAGTGTCTAATATCACATATCATCTTCATCAAATGGGTTTTCGTGCATGAAATAGTCCATGCTTAAAGCATCAGTGATTTCTAGCTTTATGGAAACCTTTTTTTATCAAACTACCCCGGTCCTGCATTTCAGTGTTAACTTTTACAAGCCATTTGGCGTGAAGTGGTTTTATCTTAGACAACTTAAGGTTAACCTTAATCAGTTTTCCTAGCACTGTTTCATTACCTCCCCTGAGTAATATGAACTGTAACAACGTCGGACAATGTCCTTTGCAACACGATTTACCGTAATATCTAGAGACTGGAAAAAGTTTGTCATGTTGGCGGGGACTAACTCATGAACTATGTTGTTGAGTGCCATAATTCCGTTAACTTTTTCCCCCAAGTGACCCTTGAAAACCTCATATACTATAAGTAGAGTTTTCTGTGCCTCTGGCAGACCAAGGAGAACCTTTCCTTCGTTAACTTAAGGCACAATAAAGTTCTCATAGTTGTCATATTGTGGACAAAAAGTTCAAAGTGGAAAAATGTTTGAAAAAAATTCAACGGACTTTAACCCATTAGGGACGATAGGGTCGTTTACGACCCACCTTTTCTAGAGGCTATAGAGGACAAACCAAAATACTAAACACCACGAATCTTTCTCACATATGCTCAAAATTTATTGGGCTACATTATTGACTTTCCAGTCGAGACCCAATTAATCACTAACAATTAAATAATTAGACTAATTAGTCGTTATAATTGGAAAATATTTCACTTAACTTCTTGCCTTGATTGGGACATTAAAACTTTATGTAGGCTTATTTTTTTGAGAACAAAATAGTTGCGGGCAACGATTTTCTTGGCACAAATGAAAAGCCCGTGATAATCAAATGTTCACAAACAGAGCTAGACGCTGTTTACTAACTGCGGTCGCATACGACCCACTCGTCCGGGTCGCAAACGACCCATCACGGTTTTTCAGCTATTACTTCTGAAACAAAGACGTTAGGACAAAATAAAAACTGTAGCATAAGTTAAAAACGTATGGTCAATACTGTGTGACTCTAACTTTTCAAAAATAGAGAATTTGGGTCATTAACGACCCACTCGGCTCACTTGCTTATTACTACATTTGTCCATGTAACTTCTTGAATTCCGCCGAAAACATGACATCATAAGTGCAAAATCGCCTCTCAGCAAGTGATTATCATCATAAACTGCGAAAAATCGGTTAAATGGGTCATTAGCGACCCACTAGGACCACAAAATTGATTAATTAAATATAATGTTGTCAAACTATTACAAATATTAGTATAAAAACATATTATATCTTGGTCATTACTCCTGTACGTTGATTTAACTTCTTAAATCGATCGACTGGGTCAATAACGACCCACTCGGAAGTTGAACCACTTCATTAATTATCATGCTGTTCCACCATCAAGAAAGACACTCGTAGGTCTTAATTCCACACAAACCACGGTGGCTGACAACTAGCCCTTCTGAGATCCAGGGCCAACTGAAGGGCAGTCATCACTCATCAAAAGATCAAAGAGCTGCGAAAATAACACGACTGCATATGCCTGGAGTTGCGTCCTGACTATGGTGTGTGGAAATCTGTACCGAAAGGACCGTGGCCGTGTCGTAAAAGAAAAGGAGATCGGCCCTCGTTCCTAACTTGCTAGGTTATAGCCATGCTGTTGTTGTTGCTTATTAGATTCTGTTACCTTTTTCGTCAATTTCGAATCTTGGTAAACGACCTGCTACAACTCACCGCTTGAGACCCAGGGTCCCACGGTGATCAGATCATGTCACTCAAGAAAAATCCCCTGAACGAAGTTTACGAGATATCCTGTAACCTTGGGTAAATACTGAAAGAAGAGCGGTCAAATTGCATATTCTAATCCAACATGCCAATCTGTTTGACATTCCTAGAAAGTACAAGAATAACTAAACAACTGCTGCATTCAGATGGCTGAATCTACAGCTCTGTGAAGAAGGACAAGGAAAAAGCCCCCCCCCCCCCATCTGGCTGGTGGTACTGCAACCTGCAATCTCTCAGACAACTACTTCGTTGTGGGTAACAACCCCGCAACAACGAGGCAGCTTTCAAAACGAAACCAAGTATTACGTAATCGGCCGAGAGAGAGGGGGGTTTCCTAATGATTACGCTAGTGTAATTTTGACATAATAGCTGTGTGGTGGGGTGTGGGGGGGGGGGGCGGGGCTAAAAATTGTCCAATAAGTGATTACGTAATATTATGTCAATGTGAACGGCCCCTAAGAAGTAAAGAAAGGAAGCTGCGAAATGAGTAGATGCAGCCATCTGAAATCTGAATCCAGCAGTTGTATAGTTCTTCTTGGACTTTTTAGGAATCGGGAAAAGATAGGCACGTTGTTTGTTGTCTCACGACATTACGGTCGTGTACTAACAGCTGATAAACTCACCTACCTATCAATCCAATTCTGCCCATTATTCGTCAGTGATTGGGTGACGTGATCTGCACAGATCACCTTGAGACTCCAGATCTCAGGAGGGCTAGTGGTCATCCACCCGTGGTTTGCGTGGAATTAAGACCTACGAGTGTCTTTCTTGATGGTGGAACAGCATGATACTGATAATTAATGACGTGGTTCAACTTCCGAGTGGGTCGTTATTGACCCAGTTGATCGATTTTAAAACTTAAATCAACGTACAGGAGTAATGACCAAGATATAACATGTTTTTATACTAATATTTGTAATAGTTTGACAACATTATATTTAATTAATCAATTTTGTGGTCCTAGTGGGTCGCTAATGACCCATTTAACCGATTTTTCGCAGTTTATGATGATAATCACTTGCTGAGAGGCGATTTTGCACTTATGATGTCATGTTTTCGGCGGAATTCAAGAAGTTACATGGACAAATGTAGTAATAAGCAAGTGAGCCGAGTGGGTCGTTAATGACCCAAATTCTCTATTTTTGAAAAGTTAGAGTCACACAGTATTGACCATATGTTTTTAACTTATGCAACAGTTTTTATTTTATCCTAACGTCTTTGTTTCAGAAGTAATAGCCGAAAAACCGTGATGGGTCGTTTGTGACCCGGACGAGTGGGTCGTATGCGACCATAGCTGTATCTTTTAAAGTAAACGAGATACAGATTAGCTTTTTTGGATATCTCATTTTTGCTGTAATGTGACCTAGTGTGTTAAACGGCATCAAAATCGGCAAACTTTAAAACTCGTCGTCCCTAATGGGTTAAGTTAAATTCCGTTGAATTTTTTTCAAGTTTAACTTGGACGGACCTTAAATGAACGTTCTTTATTTGAACGGACATTAAGATGAACGTAAGGGCCTCCAGCGTAAACATAAAATTGCCAGGAACTGCCAGTCCAGTAAATGTCAGATAGCATGTGGGTGAATGTCATTGCTGGAGTAACTAAAAAACTAAGGGAAAACTAAATCAACATGTCGTGGGCAGTAGTGATTACTCCGTTTGATGGACGCAGAAATACCAAGGTGGTGGCACTGTTTGTTGAAGTTGGGGACACAGTTAAAATAATAGAAAAGGTCAGTTTTAAATAAGCAAAGCTCTCGACCTAGATTAATAAATAATATGAAGGCATCTTTGACAAATGAGTCATTGTATGAATTCATACTGACGGCTTCAATGTTGATTCATTGATAAAGATTATAATTAAAACTCATTCTTACTCCTGTTGACCAGACCTCAGAAAAGTGGTGGCTGTGTACGGACGGAGTTGAGACTGGCTACCTTCCTCCTCACTGCCTCCTGGTTACTCAGCAGAAGGAGGGTGAAGAAGAAGAAGAAGAGGAATCAGAGTTCAGCTCTGTTGATCTGGATATAACCTCCATTCTAAAGTCAGAGAGTGAAGAGGAGGAATCAGAGTTCAGCTCTGTTGATCTGGATATAACGTCCATTCTAAAGTCAGAGAGTGATGAGGAAATGAGCTCACCTAGCAGGTATACAAATTCATTGTTATTGTTCGAGCTTGGTTACATGTCCTTTAAACTTTTAAAGGGGATAAGAGGGCAATGGGGTATTGAACTATTTGTTTCTGTCCGGTTTCTAATTCAGAATACCACTCACAGTATCCAGCAGTAGTATACAAATAAATTAAAACGAACTATTTCGAAACGAGCTCAGGCCTCAGTCTGTTTCACTGGTTCATGGAAAGAGCTAGTAAAGTAATATAAATAACGTGGTAAATTCAATCTAGATCAAGTTCAGACAAAAAGGTAAAGTTCAAAGCCGAGCACACGGTTCACCTTATCAAGAAAGACAGTGAAATAGGGATTAAAGAACTGGGCAAGGTTCACTTTACTGAACCGATACTGCAAGGTTAATTTTTTAATTTATCTAAGTAATTATACTAAAAAGTTTGATTTGTAATTCTAGCTTATCCTATTTTAGTCTGAGAAACCTAATTTTAAATTTACTACTCATAGAAACCTTGTGATCTGTAGTCTACTCTAAGTATCAAGATAAACTTAGTGAAACAACATTTTAAGTTTACCGATTTAATTTGTTTCAGACGATCGAAATTCAGACAAAAAAGTCCCACGAATAAAAAGAAAGGTGTCATTTGGTTTCAGCAAGGACAAATCCTACGGCTACTTTGTCAATCCGCTATATAAAAAATCTTATGAAACCGAAAAAAATAAAAAGTAAGAATGATCGCTCAAATCTAAATTACCTCTAATTTTCTTGAAGAAAAAGCTTTTCAACTTTTAAATTAAATTCGGTAAAACTCTTTATCACTATATGCCCCTAAACCCTTCACTTTAGAAATGCGTGCGACAAGGACGTTTGTAACCAGTGGAGAACCAACACCCACACTGACTGCTACAACCTGAACCAGTTTAGAGAGAAGGGCCTCCCCACCTCTGGCAGCGAGCCAGAGCCCGGGTTCATATCCAGCTCTGTGGGGTTTGTGACCGGTCTGTGTGGTGGGAGACGGAGGGAGACTGACATGAGGGGCTTCAACCTCATGGCGTTCATTATATCAGGAGAGTAGTGGTTATGTGCTCTGTGGTGGGGGACGGAGGGAGACTGACATGAGGGGCTTCAACCTCATGGCGTTCATTATATCAGGAGAGTAGTGGTTATGTGCTCTGTGGTGGGAGACGGAGGGAGACTGACATGAGGGGCTTCAACCTCATGGCGTTCATTATATCAGGAGAGTAGTGGTTATGTGCTCTGTGGTGGGGGACGGAGGGAGACTGACATAAGGGGCTTCAACCTCATGGCGTTCATTATATCAGGAGAGTAGTGGTTATGTGGTTATGTGGTACGGGTATTTAAGGTTGTGTTGCTGCTGCAAGCAGTATTGTACACAATATACGAGATTGGGTACAGGACACAAGTTGAAAAAGATCCTTAATTTAGAAGAAGATTAAGAAATTACTGAATTTCTTATTCACACACCTGTTCTACCATATAAGTTCAGCTCAGTTTGACACAAAACGAACGTCTGACACAACAATAACACATGCTGTTTAGGTAACGGTCACCAACACCAAGACTTGTGTACTTGTGTTGGAATGTTACGGATTTAATTTAATAAAAACAAAGATTTTACCTGAAGTTTGTTAGACTTGTTGACCAGTTCGCTCCAACATTTGTGTAGGTTCATAACGATGTCTTCTTTCTGTAAATGTGCATGTCATTAGTTATTTTAATCTAGTTCGAAGTATCTTGTTGTATTTATTGATTGTTTTATACATGTTTTTGTTTATTATAATTTTTAAAAAATACGTATTTACGTCCACGGCCCACAATCCACATGTGTTTAGATACGACATTACTATCACTACTCTTTTGCACAGAGTTTATGCTCCACTTTTACATGTCAAAGCATTGTTTTATCAATGATAAATCGTTTAAATAAATCACCAAATTGATTTAACAACGAAAATGATTAAATAAGAGTTAGAAACTATGTAAAATCAAACACAATCAACCACAATCAACGAAAGACAATTCGAAAATAAAAGATGTATCCTAAAGAGATATCAAGTCGCGACAGTTGGGCGACAAAGTTAAACTTGAGGATACAAAAACGATAGCCTCGACAAATTTAAATCTCAACGAATGGCATGTACAAAAACTTGTATTCTTAGCCATTCTATCATTTGATGTAACATTCGATGTAACATGAAATAAGCAACAAGATCGAATACGAATTATCTTTCGTGGAAACCTTACCAATATTTGGTTGGTAACCTCCCAGCAGCCAGGACTTAGCTTAGGAGGGGAGGGGGGGGGGGCTGGCAGCCATAGTAAAGCTTACTGACGAGGACTCTTCTAACCAAACTAAACTATATACTTAACCGTGTTTTGACGTGCTGTAAGGAGACAATGGCTTTCGTATTTAAAATTTTCAAAGGAACTACGTGTTTTTACTGACATGTTTTTGTAACTGTGTAAACTGTTAGTAATGCGTCAAATACCCATTGATAGAGCTTCATCAACTTGCCTTGCTAAACTTTATTTTAACTTACTTTTCTTCAATTAACATCTGAAAGTTTTATTTTATTTGCTTTCATCTAATAAACTCATTCTAGGAGGAGGTGAACTATGAAGGGTGATTATACTCAGATGTAGAAAAAGAGTAATTTTGTAACCCATATTTGTTCAAATGTAGCACTCTTCCACGAGACTATCCAAAATATTCAATCTTATCAGTCAAGAGTTTATATTTTGATTGAAATAGAAACGGAAATGAGTTACTGCCCATTCGCAATGGAAATCTATTGGATCTGGCTACCAGCCGGCTAATCTTCAATCTTATCATCATGACTATGTTGACAAGCAAAATAGAGCTGGGACGTGATAAAGGACCACTTATTCGCATTAAAATATTAACTATTCAGTAGACACATATAATATTACTTTATAAAATATTTATATTACAAAAAATATCGATATCACTATCAGTATCAGACGGTGCAGAAACTGTATAAATGAAATTTATGTAAAAAAGGAAAACTGATAATGAAATAAGCGCGAATATATAGCGAACTTGAAGGCTAAGTATCATTCTCACACCTCAACCTTTAAAAACTACTGAAACAAACGAAGAGCTTTAAAACCTTCGGTCATCTGCTTCACTTGCACAATGATAAACTAGCAGCCGTAATGGAAATTTGAAAACATTTGAAAACATTTGAGATTCATTCTGAACGAGACCGTTTGAGGTAATAACCAGACATTAATAAATGCCAATTCAAAACAATGCATAATTTTAATTAAGTGTGCAAGTAGCTATAAGGTAACAAAGTAATCTTGCGATTTTGTTATGCAGGACGAGATAAAGTAAGTAAGATGTACTTACGTTTGCACTTTGCGGCGTGGTTTTATTTGTATTACTTTTAAATGTAGGAGTAGTAATAAAAGAGTAAAGTATTGGCAGTAAAGTGGTTAGAAAGATCTCGAATTGTTGGTGATGCACTCTAAAATCTTTTGAATTTCTATCAATTACATCGGTCATGATCATTCATTGTCAGAGCTCTAATATTGAATATTGTGAATATTGTGAACACATTAATATATATATAACGGGACAAAAATAAAATATTCCGTCCTGTCGTCTTACTAACTTACAAAGAGTGGTCACGTGATTCTTGGGAAAACGTTAAATCTCGGGTAATATCGGACGAAACACGTTACTTGACTGAACACAGTTTTGAAAATATGAGCAGGTCATATGATTCGAAAAAATAACCGTTTTTAAGACAAAAAAGGTCATCTAAAAACATGATCACTGCTTTCATGATCTGCTAAATCTGATAAAAAATGTTGTCACGTGAACTGGAGACCGCCTGATAGTCTCTCATCATGTCATAGAATAATGACAACGTAGCATGTATGATACATTACGTTATGTGTCATAAGAGGAGAGTCACAAAGCTTGATAAAGTGTTTGAATCGGTACTGTCACGTCATGATCACCAATATCTAAATGTTGACAAACGACTTTTGTTAAAACATTTATTCAGATTTCAAGATGCGTCTAATCTTTTTAATTTTAGCCTTACCTTTACTTTATCTGTTCGTTCTAAGGTGTTCTAAGGTGACTTCTAATGAACTGTAGATTGGGCTGCTGCAGATAAGGTTATCAGGATTGGCAGAGGAGGGGTTCGGTTATTGGTTTTACAACACAACAGCGTCGTAAACTCAATATGAGTATATAAAAAAGAATGAAGCTCTGGGTATTCATCTGATAACAATTCGTTGTAATATGAAAAATAATGGAACAATTCTTCTGATTGAACTTATCAAGTAAAAACTGTAATACGATGCAGGGAAAGAATGATAATATTTAAAATGTATACTTTTATAACAGTGTTAATTCTTAATTCTTCCACAGTACGTACTACTACTAGTCGTCCTTGTAAAGTTTCAGTTAGTAAACGTGGATGATGATTCTACCGTTCGTGTTTCTTACTGTTCTCATAGCGTTATCATCTGGTGCACCTGATCATGACAACTTGCAGTTGAAATTCACAGCACTCAAGTTCACCGAGGATCCAAATAGCTACATCCAATTTCGTCCAGATTTCAGCCGATTCACTCGCGTTATGTCCGTTTGCGGGTGGATCAAGTCCCTTGGATCCTCGGAGTACCCTACAATTCTCCACTATGGTCACTACGAGCTGACTCTCCTGGATAACGGGAGATGGGTCTGTATCCTAGGATCCTGTACTCACATGTCCAGAAAGTTCCACGTGACCAAGAACACGTGGTACCACACGTGCGTTGTCTGGAGTACCTCTTCCAGTTCTCACAAGTACTACGTGGACTGCTTGGCACTCTGCCAACAAGATCGGACAGGCTGCTGAAGACAGGGGGACAACTCACAGTGGGGAACTGGGGAGGAGATTACTACAAGACCCACCAGTTTGGAGGGGAACTATTCTATTTGAACTTCTACGCTAAAGAAATGTCTGCGGAGTGCGGAGGAAGTGAGGAGGATGGTGTCAGGTGGGATGTGTGGTAACATGTTTCTGGATGAGCACGAGGATGCTCGTATTCTAGGGTGGGAGGAGATATTAGAACAATCCCGGAGTGGAACTGTTACAGAGGTGGATATGACTGGGGAGTGTGTTTCTACTTTGATAGCACAGGCTATCGGAAAACTAAGGGCTGGTGATACAGATAAGCGGGAAGATAAAGAAACAGAAGTGGAGGCAGCAGAAAATAAGCTGAATGATCACACTGAAGATACGGAGATGAGTCTGAAGCAGGATCTAGAAAATGTTTCCAAGCAGCATGAAGATGTTAAACAAGAGCTCAGTAGAACAGAAGGAGAACTGATTGAGTGTTACGGGAAATGATTCAAGAAAATTAGGTGCGTATTATTATTCATTTTGGAATTGTTATGTACCTTTAGGCTTTAGGTTTAATATAAGCACTAGGTTTAATATAAGCACTTACTTGTAATTATTTCCGATTTTTCATGCCATTGTAAGTATATAACATACTAGTGTAACCCGTGCCTACGGCCGGGACTTTACTATAGCTCTATCGCATTTGAAATGCAAAAGTATAAACCCGCCTATTATATCATCCTGCACCACAAACTCCTCCAAGAACGCCGTCATCCGATCCCTCACCAGAAGAGCTTACAACATCTGTTCACCTCAACACCTCGAAGACGAACTACAGACTGTCAGACACGTTTGCCTTCAGAACGGCTTCCCACCCCTCCGCATCACCACCATCATGGACGAAGTTCACCGCAAGTTCACCAACCCTCCCCGACATCAATCCTTAGCCTCATTCTACCGACAGACCAGAGATCACGCAATCAGCGTTTCCCTTCCTTTCCATCCCTCACTCTCCAAACCTATCTCCAAGATACTCGGACAGCACGACATCAAAGTGACCCACTCATCAGCCACTACTCTCCGCAACCTTCTCACCAACACGAAGACCACACCCCCCACTCAACTCATCCCCAACACCATCTACGAGATATCCTGCTCACAATGTCCCTCCAAGTACACTGGACAGACCTACAGACCCCTCATCCAACGAATGAAAGAACACGAACGAAGCTACAAGTACAGACTCAACAATGCCTTCGACGAAACCACAGACAGGATCAAATCCGCCCCCGCCCATCATGCCCTAACCACTGGACATTCCATCTCCTGGAACAACATAGAAGTCCTTAAATCACTCACCACACGATCTCAACTTGACCTGACAGAACATGCTGCTATCCAGAATCCAGATAAGACAACCCTCCATGAACCGTACTG